TTTTTTTTTTATACAAAATGGAAATATCATTCGAACGATTTGCTAATTTACATAATATGTATATACAATCAAAAAAAGAAAACAAAATTCTTTCGCTGTGCAAATATGCAATGGTTTTATTAGCAAATACTCACTTTGCTAAAAAGATAGTTTTGGAATTTTTTTTGGTATATTTGAGATTTTCAAATTAAAATTCAAATATAACTGTAATTAGTGATAAGCTATCAAAATCTATCCAATAAATAATGAGAATATTATAAAGTATCAAAATGATAATTGATTATTGCATTCTTATTTGTCAAAATATCTCCTTCCTCTGCTTGTCTGTTTGTATTCCTTTATCGTTGTATTTCCCTAATACCATTATCTCATTTCTTGACCATTTAATCATATAAGACTATATTAAGCATTCATCCATTCAGTGCAACATTACTATAAAAGTCTTATCATATTACTCGTCGATTCTATTCCTGTCATTGTCATTTATTACAATGAGCTTTGAATGGATGCTGAAGTGGAGACAATTATTTTGCATATAGATGAGGAAAGTTGATGAATTAACCATCTTCAAGTACGTAAATTTCATGAGCACAAACTGTTTACACAGTGTCATTGAAGGTCAACTGTCAATTAAGATAAAGTCAGTCCTCGTTCCTACCTTCTTCGCAACAAAAATTTCTCACAATAGTTTACTTCTAATTTTTGCTTGATGAAAAGTAATTAAATACTATTCATCCAATAATATTATTCGCAATTAAAATGAATAAAAAATCTAAGAGGAAATTAAATCATCTTCGAAACAAACTTATTAATAATTATATACCAATACTTACTAGCAGCGTAAGATACATTCGTCATTTTTATTGCATTTCATAAACTATAGTTCGAAAAACGACGAATGAGGCAATGGTAAAGAATCAAACAAATATTAAAAAAAACTCAAAAAGTTTATCACTAAAGCAGAGAAATAAATTAAAGCCAAGAATTTACTGGTAAACTGCCTGGAATAATATGTGCAATGAAAACAATCCATCCTGTTTCTCTCTGCCTTAATCAAGGTTAACAAAAATATGAAGTTTTTTGTTCCGCAGTTTCACTCCGAAATCTTCAAATTATCTGCAACACATGATTGTAAAGATACAAAAAACTAAATCAAACACCTGAGAAAGACCTCTAGAAGAAAGAACACAAAAAAATGCACTGCTATGGAATTAAACTGAAATCAGACACAGCTGGAATGATATCATTCAAATGAGCGAATTTATAGAAGAACTGCCCAGTAAAAATAAAGGCATAACCTTTCAAAACTTCTGATACACTATTATAGCGAAGTTAAACATTTCATTTTATAATTACCTGCAACATTTACATAAATTACGTAAGGGCATGAAATAACCTAAACTATTTCAGTTAGTACACTAACTGTTTTATTCTAATATTCCTTACTAATAAGAACCAAAAATACAAAGTGAGCAGCCACAAGTAACGTAAAAAAGAAAATTAAGGGATATTATCAGAAGTTCAATCTCATTCAAATAAATTCGTGACTAAATAGGGACAAAAAGAAAAACAATATCCGCTGGTATCGTATGTCTAAAAACCTGATATGTACGGTCGAACAACTCAGCAGCAAATGACATGGAGATTTCCAGAACTGTCCTCGAAATTAATTATTAAATTTCACAAAGCCGGTAAAAGCTTGTTAAATCTAGCTGCAATGCAAGTTCGATATAATGCATTTTGCACGGTGGTGCCATTAAAATATTGAGTATATCCCGTATAAGAAGCTGAAAGGAATAATAATTACATGTGATACGAGAAAAGGAAGTGTAAGTTTAGATCATCCAGAAATTTTATCGATCACTTTCGGAAAAACCATTTCATCCAAGTGGTTCCATCTTCAGAAATGCAAGACTGCTCCTCAGAGTAATCAAAATTTTGGCTATAATAATACTAAACTAACCACAAATTTCGAATTTAGAGTTTTCACTTTTGGCCGATAATATTCTTCCAAATGCTGTTGCAGTTCTTCTAAACGAATTCGTTCTTCTTCTTGTTCGAAAAATTTGGTATCGTGAAAATCTTTGCCAGTCAAAATTTTCTGCTGCTTACTGAAACGTTCACGGGCCTCAATTGTATCAACCATCTAAAATTAAATTAGAGTAATCAGAATTAAATTCAAGTACTTTGATATGGGTGATGTTGCTGAACCTTTTTTTTCATCTCATACAAAAAAAAAAGGAATAAAAAAAAAGGAATTTTCAGCTCTAGAGGGATAGAAGCATGATTTACCTCTGATCGAAAAGCGGTATAGTATCTGAGAAGATCTGCTATTAATGAGAAAAGTACACAGAACAAATTATGCAATGCCTGAAAAATAATGTTATTTTAGTTTACATGAAATAATTAAGTATGTTATATCAAATGGAGATAGAATGCATCGGAAAAAAGTCAATATATTCAAAAAATAACATTTTTACCGTGTTTTCTTCATTCAAGAAAAGGCCCTCTTCGAGTTGTCCAAGATATCGATTATGTGCCTCTATGATACCATCTAGATCACCAACGCTATCCATCTCCAGAAATAAGGCTGCTCGAAGATGTAACACAATCTAAAAAACTATGAAAATAGTTTTTTCTTACTTTTTTTCACGCTTTTTTTATTGCTTTGGAAATGAAGTAAAATGGGATAAAGTCATAACAATGTCTCATAAGATACTTTCGGACTAAAGGTACGTGAGATAGAGATAGCATAACATGCAAATAATTATTTAGTATAACATGCAAATTATTTATCATATTTGCTTTGACCTGATGTTTTGCTTTGATTAGTGGTTTGAAAAAAATAAAGACTTTAACAAGTCGGAAAAACGGAAAACTTACACTATGTGAGACGTAAGAACGCAAAGTGCTCAGAATTTGAGACATTCGAGCAAAAGATACTGTGAATATATTCACTATAAGTGTTGCATCTGAAACAGTTAACTGAATACATCCATTTCTGAACAGCTATTCAACAACGAATAAACTAGTGAGACAGATAATAAAGCTAATCATTAAAAAGTAAACATCTAGTGGATAACAAGACCTATCAAAGAAAAGCTCTCATTACCGCTACCTTTGTAAATCATAAATCTGAATGTAAATAAATGCAAATAATGTTCTCGAACATGAGAGCACTAAGTGAATAATTCCAGCAGAGAAACTGAATGCTAATTTTCGGAGAAATCACAACAACTAAAACAAACCAGACAATGGTTCATTTTTCATGAAACAGTGGTGATCCTGCAAAGTGGCAGTAAGTTGAAAATCAGTTGAAATAAGAAGCCATATAAATTCAAATGCATTCTCGTAACGTCCCATTGCACTAAAAAAGTTATCAATTCTATCAAAAAAAAGAAAAAATTGAATGTACTTACAAACATGTTTCGAAATATAGACAAAAATTTATTCTTAACTCAAAAAAACCGGCAAACCAAACAAGCAGACGTTGTAAACTGACTTAATCTTAATCATCCTGACCCAAGCCGCAGGTCCGTGTAATTCATAAAATTTTCAAGTTCAGTTCTCAATAAAATTACAAACAGGATCATGCAGACCTCCAGGCTAAACTTGGCTTCTATCATTTGTGATTCAAACTTTTATTATAAAGCTTATTTAGCAACTGATGAAACATATGTATACTACTACCGCATACACCAATTAATATTCATAAATGCATACACATAAATTTACAAAAACATAAAAATGTGCAAACAAATAACTAAAATGAACAAACCTTTTGTTCAGAACAATTGAGATGGGGATTTTGGATTCATAATTTAAACGAATGGTTGCATAACCACTTTGATCCCGAGGACTTGCAACAAGATGAGAGGAGCCACCTGTTTCATTAAATTCCTCCATCAAACCACAAGTTGCATCGATCTTTGCTTGCTTTAAAATATCTTTTGGCCAACTCTTACATTGTTGAATAGCTGCACTGAATGCCTGAGAAACTTGCTGCGAATCCAGTTTCAGCATATCATTGTCACTGCCTGTTTCTTTCCTACAACTAATCGAACCGGCTCGAAAGCTAAATTTTTAGGCTGATATACACTAATCTTTATCAAAAATGTGATATAATTAAACAGATTAGTAACAACAGTATGCAGATGGCACAGTAATGCTATGCCAGTGATGATGTAAAATGATCCCCTTGAAATTATTCTAAAATTATTTGAATCATTGTTTCATTCGAATTCAATTACTGCCATTTTCACAATTTTGATTGCTCCACTCAATGCCAAAGTCACTAGTATGTTTGAGAAAAAATTCTCCGGTATTCAAGGATGTACAACACAGCGCAATGCACTGTTTATCAAGCGGTAATAGATTCTATTGACTGCACTGAAGAGATGATCAAAGAATTTATACTAACTTCAATTTTTCGTAAAAGGTTAGTGCAAAGTATTCGTCGTTCAACAAATAATGTCGCTCAATCGCCAATATATGGGCATGAAAGTTATACTTTTGAACGATATTCTGTGAAACTTTGCCACTCATTCGATGAATTAATCTAAAACTTGGAAAGTCTTAGCAAGAATTATTATTAGACAAATTAAAAGACACGCTCTGAAGACGTAGATCTCATGAACTGTTCTAAATTATTTTAAAACTAATGTGATAATTGTACACAACAAATAAAGTCGCTCGACCACCAATATATGGGCATAAAGGTTATACTTTTAAATGGATGCACACAAAATTCGCTGAACATTAGTGAAAATTCAGGGTGATGTTGACATATTGGGAAAGAACGAAGAATCACGTCTGGCAGAATTCTCAAAGGAATTTAAAAAACTAAATGAATTTTTCTACAAATAAGAAATAATAACTGATACCACCAAAAAATAACATACTTTTTAACAGCATACCAAAGGCGATGGCCTGCTGAGACACATAAATAGCATTTTAATGGATCAACTGAAGAAAATATGCGCTGTCTCTCGTGCAGATCGTCATCTTCCATGCCCATTAATTCCAGTAGAGCTACAGTCTTTCCAACAACAAAAATCTAAACAGACAAACTAAACAAAAAGCTAATAAATTTTTTCAGAATGAGGTGACTTTTAAAACTGAAAAAAAAAACCCAAGTGGAAAACTAGTGCAATAGAATTTCTTCCTAATCGATATTAAATTATGCTCAAGCTCCAACTCCAGCTATAAGACTGACAAGAAAACTTCCAAAAAACAATTCTTTTTGACGTACCTTTTCTTTAATTCCCTTGAATTGTCGGAAAATTATTGGAACTGCATCATCCACTATTCTATACTCATTTGACCAATTTTTTTCCGCCGTCCATTTGCTTTGTAATTCGATCATCCACTAAAAATGCTCCTGCTAAATTTTATGTAAAATTATTCTTAATTGATTTTATCGTCAGCTGCGCTGATCGCTGTTATTCCTGAAGTTCACTATATGAAATCTGTCTCGTTTTTAATGAAACAGATGAAAATATAACGAATGATTAGCTGATTTCGTAGCTGTAAACTCGAATTCAATGAGAAACCAATCATAAAAATACAAAAGCAAAATATACCGGGAAACCAGGATCTATCAGTCGTCCATAGACAAGCCAACTATGAAGGCATTCATGAAAAATGTACATCATAGGGCGCAGCAATACATGCAGAAATTGCTGTATAAATTGATTAGCGGTGCTCCTTAAGCAATAAATTTTTAGACTGTAATGAAAATATATCTACTTGCACTAAATCTTCATTTTCTTCTTAATCTCCATAGTGTTACAATAAGAGCATACACATGTTTCATCGTCATATTGAAAACTAATCAAATTCCGAGTTACCAATAAAATGAGCAAAGCATGTTGAAAATATGCATCCCTTTGCGCCCTTCAAAAGTGCAAACGAGTTTCGAAAGAAGTGGTAATAAGATTTCCCAGTTGGACAGTGCAACCAAAATATCCAAACAAGTGAATGATCCTGGACTGGACATGTACTGAAACAACTTCATGGGCTATTCACTCATATAGATGGAGAAAAAAAAAATGTTTCAGTCCCTGAAATGTTCTGAATTGCAATAAGAGATGTGGTAGAAAGAAACTTGAAATTTTATAAGTGAACGAAACCGATCCGTATTTCCCAAATAAAACGGCTACATACCTTCGTATATAACATGGATATGAGGCACATGTAGCTGGATAATACTTCAGATAAACCTGTGGATAAAGCCTGAAATAATGCGATCCATACGTGAATTTGTTCTTTTTTATCATTCATTTTGTTTCAGGTCTGGATTTTTGATTTCATTTCATGAGATGGGTGTTTTAAATATCATATAATGAGTCATCCAGTAAGGTCTACGAATTAAAACTAATAACGGATCTGAAATTCCATTCGGAAAAATCCAGTCTTATAGTCAGATCCAAAAAAGGATCTGGCTGTAGAAAATTTGATAAAAAAACCACAGCAAAGCAAAGTGAAAATGTGTTCACATCCTACAATCCATATAGCATTGTATATCCAAAGGCTCATTCTGACTTATCGGTAAAGCAAAAAGCAGAGATAAGTAAAACAAACCCGAACAAGGCGATCCGAGGACGGCTTTTGCGATTCATATCGCAACTGCAAATAAGCGTTTGCGATGGGTAGTAATCGTAATAACTGAAGGCGTAAGGTGTCATCAACTGCAAGCATGTCACCTAATTGTAAGTCAGCATGCTTGTCACCGCGACATATAATATAAGTACCTTCGATACCTTGCAAAGCCATCAGTACATGCCTTGTCAGTTCCTCTTCGCATAAAACTGCAAGTTTTCCTAATTAAACTTGCTCTTTTGCAACCTTTCAGATATATACTTAGATTTAAACTGAAATTCCATCGGATATAACTTTAAAAAGCAAGTTTTTATATTTCCTATTTCATTACTTGTAAGAAAATAGATCCAAAGATTCGATTTCCTGAAGATTCGGCAAGAATAAGAGATTAAAGAAGTTAAACAAAATTAACCATTTGAAACAGTTTTACCTTACAAAAATTATGTCATGCCTTATAGCGGTCCCAAATTCATCGTCTTTTATTAAAAGCCAATCAAACTAGCAATAATTATACAGCAAACTTTAAAATGATAATTAACGCAAAAAAGATTGACCTGAAAGATGTGCTGCTCGTCCGGTAAGTCCATAAGCCTGCGGATTTGAAAGTTGTACATGTTTTGATCTAGAAAGATCCTTTAGACAAAAATTAGCAGGACTAATTGCCAATAGATTGACCAACAGAGTTCAACTTCTTTAATTTTCGTTCTAATTAATTCTGTTTGAGATGAACTAAAAGATTCACTCACTAATACGGATATCATAGCACAGAAAAATATGAAGTGAAGCTTAAATTATTTTCATCATGAATCCAAAATTATTTTTACTACGAAAAAAACATCAGTCACTGAAAAAAAAAGTGCCTAACCGAAATTAAGCCATCACAACAAATCATAAGTTATGGCTCAAGATTTCAATATTTGAAGCTCTTTAAAAGCGTACGAAAAAAGGCTTTGTCTGCTACTCCCTGAACTTGGTGTCGCCGAATGACTTAAAGTAAATCTGGTAGTACGTTGTCGGGGTGTCGGTGTTACCAAACTACTACTAGTGTTCGCATTTGCTTCTACCAGCTTTGCATTTCGCTCAATCTTCCTAGCATACTGAAAAAAAAGAGTTGCATTAAGCTAATAATAACAACAAAATTATTCCTAAGTAAATTTCTAACATTTTATTAGCTTTGAGATTTCCCTTTTCCAAAAAATTCAGCAAAATTAGTCGGTAAACATTAACTTAAATTCTACAGTTTATCATAACTCCAATCTTTTATTATTCATTTTTTCTTATTTTTCTCAAGTATGAAGCATATTATTGCTAATTTTTCCATTTTTTTGAATGCAAAGAAAATATTTGTTCAATAAACAGAGAAGTAATGTGAAGAAAAGAAAGTTTAGTGGAACACTGTAGAAGAATTAAGCTAGGAAATGACAGGCTAAACAAGCAGCTTGAAACTGGATGCGGTTATACAGGCTCTTGTTATCGACCGTCTAAACAAACAGTGAAATTTGCATGAACAAAAAAGATTGCTACATAAAATGATAAACAGATCAAAGAAAACAAAAATGCTTCTAAAAATCCGAAAAAACTATAGAGCTACCAGAAATTGGGGAACATTTAGTTCTTTTTACAACTAAGAGTATTGAAAGACAAAAAGACGATTAACGGACTAGAAAAAATGGTTGTGAGAGAATTACAACTTTAAAACTCAAATCATACATTCAATATTAGCAGATTTTCTTAGTCGACGAAAGTACCTTTAAAAGCAATAAAAAAGTGATATAGTACCAAAATAAAATGTTTAAATATTGGAAGAGTAGAACTTATAGAAGCACTGAGCAAAAGTTAAGACTTATAGAAATAAAAAGCTATATTTGCATATTCTGCATACTTTGCTGCTGACATACTTGGTGTTCTGAAGCATATGCTATGAGAAATAGAACCAGTTCATCTGCATAAATCAAATCTGGTCGTTTCTGTAATCGACAGACTATGTCCGCAAATTGAGCACCTCTTTTTTCACTTCGTTTAACATCTGCAAAGTACCAGTTAGTAAAGGTAAACCTGGCAAAAAAAAATTTATACATGTATATTCAGAGATCGCTGTGAATAAGCTATGACTTTGACTAATCACAAAACTAAGAAAAATTGAAATCGAATATCCTAATAATTGAATCCCTGGGTAGTCCAATGTATAATTAAAACGATCATACATTTTTGACGTATTCGTTCAATTGCGTTCCTTGCATCAATTTTAAAAGCTGTACAATCTTCCAGTAACCATGACAGATTTTCACGATCAGAAGCTAAAATTAAGCGAATTAAAAGAAATATTATAAATCTTCAACACTATTTTCCTAATGGGAACTTGATTTTATAATGTACACCATAATCAGTTGTGCACATAGTACTTGACAAGAATTTTAGACAATCCAGCTCTACTTTAAGGATTTTCAACTCATTGCTGAAGTTGGGACAAAAAAGTATCCGATTCCTGCATTAAGAATAGTAAAACACATAGAAATATACAATGAGGTTAACATGTAAGAATGTATTACTTATTATCAAATGTTAGTATTGCCTGAGAAAAGCTTAAAAATAACAAAAACTACTGCAGGAAAATCCCAATTCATGAAGCTTTTTTTCTTTTTGTCAAAAAAAATGGAAGCATACGGTCGCAGTCAAATTCTCGCATGAAATCATCCAGAACTGGATTAAAATCAGATCCGCTGAATTCCATTATGCATTTGATGTCTGATACTGGAAATTATGTTTTTTAAACAACACGTTTTTCAGATTAGTACGATAATAAAAAGACCAGTACGCCTATGAGGAAACATCTCAACTTTTATTAAAATTTCATTATGAAGTTACCAAACATATTTATCAATTCATGCTACAAATAATCCAGTTGTAGTCAAACCAATAAAATAATGTAGTTGTCAAAAAGCCAACCATTCGATTACTTTGCAATTTAAAATCAACAAAATAATAGGATGGGTTAAATTCACCACTTCTAGAGTCTCAGATTTTGTTTCCACTTCGTGTACTGTCATAGTCTAGAGACTGTACAGAGAGTAATAGTACGCTAACACTGCAACAATCATTTTAACCTGAGAAAAACCTGCCAAAAGGAAATAACTTCCGATTACAGCAGTAATAACATGACTTGTCCTTTTACAGTTAGTGGGTAATTCTAGAAAAGGCATTCTATGGATATGACGAATCTCATACAGCATCTGAATTTTGATTACAGGAATCAATGAGAAAATTAATGAAAGCAAATAAAACAATGGACGCTGCATAACGAAGCATAGTGTCAATATATGTCACGAAAGCAAGTATGAAAAATCGAGCTTTATTCTTAGGCATGAGAATGCAAATAATAATTAATGTTATGATACAAAACAATCAAGAGAATGCCTAAATGCCTATGAATTCTTTTATTTAATGTAAATATATGAAAATTTTGCCTCTAAATAAAGAAGTTTTCACATCTTCCTTAATAAACGACGCACACAATGATGATTGCCAACTGGAGCTGAGAGGTGATGTCGAGACATACTTGTAATGCAAGTTTATAAAGATGCATAAAGTAATTAACAATGAAGACTAAATCAAAGGAACTGAAATACCGTGAACAACAGATTCATGCAGAAGTAAATCCAAACTGGATGAAGAGAATATCAGTAACTTTAAATAAATCGCTTTAAGCAACATGTTACATGATTAATTAAATCAAAAAAATAATACACGCATATAAGCGTTGTATACAGCAACCGTTATGCAAATAAGACAAAGATAAGCTGATGCTATCCATTTTTTTTAAAACCGTATTTTTTCCTCTCGTAGAAAAGATCCGTTTTGGCACTTCCTAAGTTGACGATTTTTGGACAACCATCTCGATCTTTTTCCATAATCGTACATTCTTTGCAGTAATAAGCATCACTTACTCCCGAGCCTCCACAAATGACGCATCGTCCCTAAAAGTACGTAATTAATCAAGTCCTTAAAGTTATATGAAATAATTTCAAATTTCTAGAAAATATCATTGCAAAAAACGACATTTCAAAAATTTCAAAGAACAGCAATAGTAAGTACTAAATCTACTAGTTTGATCTCAAACTCAGCGTTAAATGGTTTTATTATTAAAATAAGTGAAAAATTGCTGATTATTGGAAAAAATGAGGACAGCAAATTTGTTGCTATTCATTTTCTTATTTGGAAAAGATATACTTCGAAAACAGTGGGGTTAGGGAAACAGTGGGGTTGGGGAACTTGGATAGATACCAAATCTACTGAGAAAAACGAGAAAAGCAGCAGAATGGAATTCTCATTGTAGTCTACAAAAAATAATCGACAAACAACTAATTAGATTTCTGGACATTTGGAATACTAAACATAACAATTTCAAGCGCTTTTGTTTGCTCTCACCTGATATGACCCATAATTGCATTCATCACAAATCCTCACTAACGTACATGGCCGAACATATGAGTCACATATAACACAGCGGCCATCACCTGCAACAGGATTGAAATGAATTTTCGCTATAAGTTGTCAAACCCACTTGATGGAGTGATTTGAACTACCCCTAATAATATATAAAATGCCCGATTAATTCGTTTGCTCATTACGTCGATTAATGCTTGAATAAATGCTACACGTTCAAGATCGATTAATGCTTAAATAACTATAAGATCTGTTATGTCAACCAAAATCTAAATACTACCAGGCTTATCGAGTAATTCAACGTCGTACGACTAAAACAAATTCCTGTCAAGAGTACTCTTTTCGTGTCGAGCATGGCGATACAGAAAGTGTCACCACAGGAAAAATGATATCACCAGGAAATGGTTGAATCGTTTTTTTTTGATCAATGGTTGATTCATTTCAAACATTTGCTGGTTAGGTTTAAACCGCTAGGCTATATCAAGCTAAACTTAATATTCCTAAAAAATATTTAAGAGAGGAAAGATGAAAATGAAAGGAAAAAAATACATTTTTCGCAAAGTCGACCGATGGCAACACCTGGTTGCTTACGACAAAAAATCAGGTCTGGATGATGTTTCGCCATGTCACACAACTTCTGCTATCTTCACAAAAAATATCTTCCTAAAATAGGCTGAGGAATAATTTCAAAAAAATTATACAAAGAAGGTAAATAAACAGCAACATCTCAATAATCGTCGGAATTGCATAAACGAAGTTTTAAATGCGGTAAGAAGTATTTCCTACAGAAATCCGACAAGGCTAGTCATCATACCCGATATTATCCTCTTATATCGTCAAGTAAATTTAACATATGTATATCTAAAGAGAAATACTTTAATATCAGCAACCCTTATTAAAATGTTACAGAAATACCGCTGTTCTCTCTACTAATACAATAGGATATATTGCAATTCTTTTCGACACCACCAAGGAATCACAACCTTCATTATCAACACAACCAAAAATATCTCAATTCCAACCAACATCCGGAAAAATCGAACTCCCTCGAGTCTGGAGGATGTTTGAATCCTTCCGGATACAGTAAAGATCCGTTTTGAATTCCTGATAATAATGCAAATTAGCTTCCCGTTGCATGCAACAGATGAATTGAATCCTCGTGATTACGGCTGGAGGCTTCGGTAGAGTAGTTTAGGGAATTGTGAGCATTGGTGATCAAATGGGATATTATGGAATCTATGATAGGTTGTTTAAAATGAATAAAATATCTAAAACGAGTTACAGGTAACCCGATCGGGACAAGGGTTACCCGTGTCAAGAGCGGATAGGAATGGTTATCAGTGTTGCTATCATCACCAAAGAAGTTTGTCTTCATTTCTCCTTCTTCTCCTCTCATTTCTTCTTACTGATAAACTTTTCAACTTCTACGGTATGCATCTGATGGTCCTTGATGTTACCGAACAAGAAATTCATAAGTATTAAGTAATGTGTGATATTATACTTTAGTAGTACCTTGTGCAAAATTTACAGCTCAACAGTTAACATCCTCAGTTAAAATAAGTTTCAAATATAAATGGGTCAAGCAGTTAAACGAAGAGCATCAGGGAACTGAACAGTCTATCAGTGATATAGTAATTTTGAAATTAAAATGTCCCCTTCACTCCTTCTCCTCTTTCAATTTATCATTACATAATTGAAATTATCTTTATTTAGAGTTCACCTTTATATCTGAATGTTAGCGAGAAAGAATCATCAAGGGAATTCGATATACAGATGTTTATTTATTGTTCATTGGATATTGTTGATGAAAAAGTATTCGGTGCAAATAAGACTCTGGAATTGTATTTGGGGCCACTTATATCAGATCAGAATTTCAAGGTTTATTTTCAGTTTTGAAAAGCGGAAATTTAATTTAATGATTCAAATATTGCATATTGATCAAATTTTTGTAGTGCTTGAATGCATCAAAAAGATATCGCTTTACACTAATGACATTTATTTTAACTAAATACCACTGACATTTTGATCGTCATTAGAATCGAACAGTAAAAGTAATATTTTGTAGAAATTCGTGCAACTATAGTGATAATCAGAATTGTAGTTAGAATTTGATTTTTTTTCCTAGTCTTATTTCATATTTATGTCTGTTTGATTTTAGTCATTTGGTTATGTGACAAGCACCAATGTGAAAATGATTATTGTAACAGAAGTAGGTGATATTTCACTGAAGGATCAAGATATTCGTTCCGTAAGTTATTAGTTGAATATTATGAAACACGATCAAAATAAAGGTGAGCAGAAATTTTAATTCCAAAACTTGCCAAGACAAATTCTTTTCTAGAATTGGAATTAGAATTAGAGTTCTACTCTTACTGAGATGTACGACTTAGTACTTGCAAAATACATCATTATTTAGCAAATGACAGTTAAAGCGCTAAATGCAGTTACCATCGTTAGTGAAAGTCATCAAATTTCTTTTCTGTAATCATATCTTCAGATGTTCAAAAGACTTCACAGTGCTTATTGCAATTCACTCTCAAATCCTTTTTATGTTCCTGGGCAACTCATTAAATCAAAGTAAGCTTCAATTCTGAATCTGAATCTTCAATTCGAAATTGTTCTTTGGTGAATTCCACGAAAAATTTTTCATGTATATGTTGAAATTTTCGTGTATATGGGACTTTTATGTATATGTTTTAATTCTGTTTTAAAGATGTCTTTTTCAGGGTGTTAGACGAAACAGTCAAAGAAATATTCGCAACATAATGGGATTTATTTAATTAACTTGGCTTTGTCGTAATATATTATTCACGTGATATGTATAACAATTTCTGATCATGACGATGTTTGTGATTTTTCAGTCAATAAGTCAGTTCGAAATGGTGAAGTGATAATCTGATAAATTTTCAAAATGTCACATCTCTTGTGAAAACTAGTTTAGTTTGCGTTGATAATTTGGAACTACCTGATTTTTTCGTGATTTTTTTCCATGTTGCAAATAGTATTATACCAAATTTAACACCTTACGGATTATGGCTTACGTTTCTTCTTACCACAGTTGCAGATAAGGTTACGAACTTAGCACTAAAAGATTGGAAAAATTAAATAGCATAACTTATATAACGCGGTTGTTAAGGGATGTTGATACTTTCTGTTAGAGATAGTATTTCGTCAAGTATTCCCTGTTTAACGGTTCTATGCTTATTTGGAGCTGCATTTGCTGAGTGAAAGTAGTTGAAGGATTTGTTCATTGCCGGATACTTTTCAGGAATGGATGAGGATGATTCTGGTTTCAGTGGAATTGTTAAAATTTCAAACGTCAGCGATTTTATTACTCCTTCACAGGTTTGCTCGATCTTTATTTAAACTTTTATTTAATTTTCAGAAGATGGGTTATTATAAAATGTTAGATTTTTCGAGAATTGGTTAAAAAATTTCTGGAAATTAGTATATCATTTTAGGCATGCATCTTACCACTTCAGTCGAAACAATCAGATATGAAAGTTCGAATCCAAGCTAGAAGTCGATCTAAGAAGGTTAATGGTGATGCAGTAAATAAAGTAGTGGTTACATTAAATGACTGCTTGGCATGTAGTGGTTGTATTACAAGTGCGGAAACGATACTTGTTAAGGTTAATGATCCCTTGAAATCTTAATGATTTCTCTACATTGATTAATATACCATTTTTTCCTTTTCTCTTGCGCTATTTTCCATATCTCATACAAAATTTGCATAATACCATTTTGCACAAATTACATTGTAGCAAATAGATTGATTTGCCAAGGAAGAATCTCATGTATACCAGTAGTGTTTCCCTATTGACGATATAATTTAAAGTACTACTAAACGTTGGAAGCACAGCGCAAATAAGTAAAAAATTTTTTCGTCCCTGCGCAGACTATTTTGGATTAGCATAAGTAGTTAATTCTTACGTATTGTATTCTGGAATGTTCTAATGAACTTTTATTATGTTATCTTTAGGAACAATCGAAACCGAAATTCTTGGAGGGTTTGGCAAGCGCACAATTGAGCGTAATGACCGTTTCGCCGCAATCAATAGCATCCATTGCTTATAAACGTGGTTGTCAGACGTCAGAAGCAGCAAGACTGATTGCCGGAATTTTTAAGAATATGGGAATGAAATATGTCCTTGATTCGAGCTTTGGAAGGCTGTTAACGTTGTCACTTTCTTATGATGAATTTAAGGAAGCGCATTTGCAGCGACCAATTTTTACGGGTGTTTGTCCAGGTTTCGGTAAGTTATGACTTTTAATCTTATCATTTACTGCTGCAAAATAAGCAGTTTTATCTGGTTCTATTGTTTCATTCATTACGACAGGCTGATTTGAAAATCGATCTTAAGGGATTTGATATTACTCCTTTTCTGTTTTTTGCTCAAACGCAGCATTTTTTTCTTCTCTATCTTTGTGGCATAATTGTTAACCATTAATTTTCTAGTGTGCTACGCGGAGAAAACTCATGGAACATTACTTATCCCTCATATTAGTCGTGTGCGATCACCGCAAGCCATGATGGGCGCACTTGTGAAAGACTATCTAGCAAGGTATGTTTTTAAAAGCATTCGATATCTTTATTTTCTCTGTTTCATGCATCCGTCGTACATAGTTTTGGGAAGGAAGTTGCACATTTGGGAACCACTTTTATTGTCGTGAAATTGACTGTGTTTTCAGTGCAGGTTAACGATCTATTTCGAACAGTTTTTAACTTTGTTTGAACCTTTTTTCAAGAAAATTTATTCATCAAGATTAAGCTGTAGGTTTTGAAAACTATTAAGTGAGAAATGCTCTCTGTTCCGCATAAGTTCTAACTTCCAGGAAGTTTGACGTGAAGCCGGAAAAGATATTTCATGCCTCTGTTATGCCATGTTTTGACAAGAAACTTGAAGCTGCGCGCTCGCACTCCGGAAATTACTCCGACTGCCGTGAAGTTGACTGCGTTCTAAGTACAGGTTAACGGATTTTCAAATATTGGGTTCGGATTTGATCTTTGCTTCTCCTATGGCTTCCTTACATCTGATTAATTTTCCGTATTAGTTCTCATCGACGTTTCAGGGGAAGTGGATGGAATTTTGGATGAATATAACGCAACAGAGAGTTTTTTTGCGTCTGAAAAAGTGGGTTGGCTAAATGCATTGGAGAATGGGAAGGTAATAAGTTCGGAGGGAGGCTCTTCGGGTGGGTACGCTGAATACATTGTGAAGAGATTTGTTGCAGAATCAGAAAAGCCATTGGAATTGAAGAGAACCATAAAGTAGGTTTGAAATTTCGTTGGAATTTTTTGACGATCTTTACTTTTTTAAGCCTCGCTACTTTCCGATCCTGGTTTTTTATTTTGTTGCTATAAGACAAGATAGATGCATGAGCAGAAGAGAGAATCTAAGATGTAAGTTGATTTCTGAAGACAAAGATTGAGGAATAACGACAAACTAAGTTACGTTTTATAGGGACAAAAATTGGGAAATTATTGAAGCAGTAGATGGTGAAACGAAGATGCTATCTGTGGCAAAATGTTATGGATTTCGTAACATCCAGATTCATGTACAAAAATTGAAGCGTTCAAAATGTGATTATGATTACGTTGAAATCATGGCTTGTCCATCAGGATGTATTAATGGCGGCGGTCAAATCCGTGGTGCCTCCACTGAAGAAAGAAAAAAGATCTTAGATGCAATCGAACTATCATGTTCGGATGATAATTCAGAAATGGAAAAAGAACTAGAACGTGTAAAAGAAGAGTGGTCAGTACTGAATCCAGACTGGATGAATTTACTTTATACGAAGTACTATGCAGTGGAGAAAAGTGCTGAAAGAATAAGTACGAACTGGTAAATTATTTGGGAATTAACGTACAGGAAGGCGAGGTCGGCATCTGATCATCAAATGACACGAAGTCGAGTACATGAATGCATTAGTGAATAATTTGAATAGGGAGTGGAGAGACGGGATATGTATCTGTGATGATTTCAAATGTAATAAAGAATACTTCCTTTCACGCATCACAGTTGCTGAAATTGTAGTTGGGCACAACACGTGATTGGGTACATCATTTAACAAACTTTTTTTGGGAAGAGGAATTAAACAACGTTCCATTTTTTTCGCTCAGAAAAGCGGGACATTAAAAGGAAGTTAATATCATCCAAACATTCCATCTAATATACCAGCAAATAAGGTGTTATGACATAAGAAAACCTTATTTAACCAAGATTATTCATAACAAAATTGGAATTGATTCAATCCATCCATAAGTCTTTTTGAAACTACTGGATAATCACTGAATCTTTACATATTACGAAGAGAATCGAACCAATAAAAAAAAAGTACAAATAACAATATGTAAGATGACCGTATCCAAAGGGTAAGTCATAAATTTATCGGTTTGAACACGTTGAAGCCAGATAATGCCGTTGTGGCCACAAAACCCGGGATCTGATTATGCCAGTGCACCTGAATCGGGATTTTATTAGTTACCAATAAAATGGAGCAGTAAAAACTGCATTGAAAGATGCGGATGTC